TATTGAACTTTTGTTGATGGTTATTATCGAAAATAGAGTTTTACAAAAATGTTAAACATTTTATTTAAAATTGGAGGTTATAGCGCCGAAATAACCCTGCATCGTCACACGTATACTCGTCAAAATTAGTACGTTAAGATTACGAGCGGCCTTATTTTAGAGAAACGTAAGAGACAAATTTTTGTAGCGACAACGACATATGAATTTGTACAGAAAAACGACAGCGACAATTTCCTCCGCTGGTTAGGCGACAAAGGTACGCAGAAGGATGCGACAAGGCGACAAGACTACCCCCCTTGGAAGGCCTCTTTGTTTTGCGTTCATACACTATGCATGAATTACGTAACCAGAACGTTTCCATTGATTAGTTCCTCAGAGTAAACAGCTATTGTGTTTTGTTCACAAAGAACTTTGTCGGGTTTCATAAACATGCCCCTTTTTTTTTTACTGAATCACTCTATGCTTAATTAGAATAAAGTAATGTTGCGTGACCTTTGAATTAGTATACAAATGAATCCAAAGTTGCACAATACTGTATTCTGTTAACACTGTACCCCGTGATTGATAGACTATTATTCGTGCGTGATGACCAGAGAAAGAAGCTTGCCAGCAGTCTAAGCACTATCGCCGGGTCAAGATTTGCTTGCAGCTGGGCTTGTGTTTACACATGCGATCAATCATGATGTGGATTGCTGTGATATTACTTTGTGCTGTATCGTATCCATCAAACGGTGCGAGAATGCTCGGGGTGGTTGGAACGGACTCAAAGAGTCGCTATGCGAACATGAGGAATTTAGCTGATGAACTGTGTTCGCGTGGGCATGAGGTTTGTTATGTTATTTGTTATTCTTAAGGAGGAAGCGAAGATGAATTTAGAAGTCTTTACTACGACTTCGGAGAGCCTGATAACTGAGTTACGATAGCGCGCGTCAAAATGTGTGGTCAGTGAAAGGATTTTAAAGCCTGGCCACCTTTAGACTTTCTGAAAAGTCCTTCGTCTTATTCAGTTTATTCAATACTTCGTCGCTCGCTCGGCCGCTTGGCGACCTTAAAACGGCCGCTTCGCGACCAAACATATTCTACCCTGAAATTCATGAGGTCGACTTGTGGCAAGTCTATATATGGCCACCTCTGCACGCGATCTTCGAATACACGCATCAAAGATCATCTTTGAATACACTTTTGCCGCATACATCAAAGGTGGCGAAGGTCGTTTTTACTCACCTGTGAACGCGTAGAATGCAAAACAGCCGTAATTTTTGCGAACGCGAGCGACGGTCAATATTCGAACGAAAGGTCTGGAGCAGGAGGGAGGGGGTGACTCTGTTGTTTTCCGGTATTTATTCGTGACCGAGTCATCGCTACCAGTGTGACGTCACATAGCAACGAGTGAGCGCTTCGAGTAGCTTATTCAGATTACGCCATTTAAGAAGGACAACAGAGTCTAAGAAAGACAAAAATACAGGCCTAATATCGCTTTTGTTCGCTAACTAAGTGTAGGTGTGTGCAGTTTGTTAATGCTTTTTGTCTGTGTGCATTATTTGTTTTAGTTTTGTGCGCGCGTTATCGTGTAACCTTGTTGAATTTTGTTGCGGGTAACTGACGGAACCGCCATCTTGAAAACGGGATGAGAGCCCGGGGGGTGGGGGATGGGTACTCTCAGAAAAGCTGGGTGGGGGTGTGCGGCCCGCTTCCCAAAACCCTTACCCTATTTATGACCAAAATCTGCGATATTCCTTACCCTATTTATGGTCTGACCAAATATTCAATACCCAATTTATGACCCGACCAGTAAATCAAAACCCTGTTTCAGACCTGCGTTATAATAAGTTCCCTATTTCAGACCAATGTTGAATTACCGTAAACATAATTTGTGATGGGCTTTTGTTAATTTTCTTTTCGATAATGATGAAAAATTGGCTTCTTCTTAAAAACATACCCATATCAAGGCTACAGTGCAAAAACNTGATAGTCAAAAACGGTACCTAATATCTTGATTGATTTTCGCACTTTGTGAGTAAAGTCATTTTGTACTACCAGAAAAATTGGGTGGGGCTGTGCGTCCCGCTTCCCAAAACCCTTACCCTATTTATGACCTGACCAAAAATTCGAAACCCTATTTATGACCTGACCCATAAATCAAAACCCTGTTTCAGACCTGCGTTATAATTAGCTCCTTAGTTCAAACCAATGTTAAATTACCCTAAACATATAAATTTGTGAAGGGTTTTTGTTGATTTTCTTTTCGATAATGATGAAAAAGTGGCTTCTTCTTAAAGCATACCCATATCAAGGCTAGAGTGCAAAAGCCATATTGGTAGACTAAAGAGTCGTTGCTGATGCGTGACACTTGGTTAAAAACGATTGAAGCGATACTGGATGTATAAATATCGGAAAG